GGACCTGCAGAGGGTTCTGGGGGATAGAGAGCTTTACATGAGCTAGTAGTGTACTGTGGCAGTAAAGAGGGCAAACAGTGTCATGACTGGATCAGGAAGAGAACCGTCAGTGGGTCGAGGCGTGTGCTTATTCTACTCAGCACTCAGTAGGCCCGCGTAAGGTGATGAGAGTGTTGGAGATTGCTGGGGTGGGAGAGAGAACTGGTCATCCTGTGCCTGGTAGATTCAGAGAAAAGTACTCTGTTTGCCAGGGTGTATAGAGTGACCTGGGTAACCTAATTTAGGGCTGTGCGTTCAGTAGAAGGTTGGACCAGGTGATTCTCCAGAGATTGCTTCCAGTTTAGACTTTAATCTATTATTCTACCAAACAGATGATAAGTTTTTTTGTTACTTTTTGAAAGGTTGCCCGTGATAGTCCATAGTTATGATGTGTTCTGTCTGTTCTTGATTGAGTAGACTGAACTAATTTGTATTCAAGATACTTTTCTGCAAAGCATTAAACATTTTTCTTCTACATGAGCTAGAGATTTCAGTAGTCACTGGCATTGCTTGTGATTTGTCAAGCATATAGCTTTATATACAGAAAGGTGTTAGTTGAAAGCAAAATAAAAATCATTAATCTACATGGTGACATTGTTATAATAAAATTAAAATTATGCTTTTTTTTTAAAAAAAGGATCTTAAGGTTATAAACTGGAAATATATATCAACAGAATAATATTCATAGCCTGTTACTATGTTAACCAAGTTTTACTTGGGTTAGACTTGACACTACCTCTAAATAAATATATTTGTTTCATGAAGTATTGTAGTTGCTGTTAAAAATTGGCAGTTAAGTTATCCTAAATAGATTTCAGGATGTAAGAGCTTTATTTCAGAAATTCTTGGAAATTTAGAGAAAAAAGATGTAGGTAACTATTTTCCTCTCCTTTCTCCCCTTCTTTCTTTCTTTCTTTCTTCCTTCCTTCTTTCTTTACTCTTTTGGTCTGTTTTCTTCTTTTACTCTTTTCCTCCTTTAATGGGTAACTTAAATGAATTGTGTTTTACTAAAGCAGGTAAATTGATTGTTTGTAGTGGATGTTTTCTGTGAACTGGGTCTTTTTGTTGAGTGTTTTAGTGAAATGCTTTTCTTGTAAAAACTTTTGCCAAAATTTCTCTCACTAAATTAAAAGCAATTCTCTTAGAGAAAGTGTAGTAGTGTTTTCTCAGACAAAGGACACTTAGAGCATCTTTCGACACGTGATAGAATAACTTCACTGTTTAATTTTGGTGTGCCAGCTTTCTAAAGGACTTTTTAATGAAAAAATATTTATTCAATAAAGTTAATTTTTAAAGTATCATATATAAACCATGAAATTTTATGCCTTTTTAGTTTAGAGATTTTGTGGTGTGTTTTGGAAGTAGTATAGAGCAGTCTGTACAAGAAGATTTCTAGGCATTTACAGTATTTGAGAAGTGAGGCTTATACAAAGATGTTGGAACGTATTTTTCAAACACTACACATAACTTTTCAACAGTATATAAATTCCGTTTAGAAAGTTTGTGAAAATATCCAAAAAAAAGGCAAGAGGGGTCAGAGTAATCACTGTAAAACTTGGTTTCCTTTGGTGTGTTCTCTAAGTTAAATAGCCATCCTTGTCATACGTACCTATACCGTGGAAAAATGCTGGTGAATAAGAGCAATGTGCCCATCTTGCTGGCTTGCCCTTGGCTGTCTCAAATAAACATTTTCTCTGGCATCATTGTGAAATGGAAGTCAGGCACATGCTGAGAGAACGCTCTCAACTGACAGTGTACTACAGCTAACCTTTGAGTAGCCTAATGTTTAAAACCATGCAGAAGAGAGTTATTCCAACAGGGGATATCTGGGGGAAGTAAGGTTAAAAATACCCCTTACCAACCTTACTATTTTCTGCCAGTACTGGGGGAGGGAAGTAAAAAAAGTGATGGATCAAAACCAAACGGACATTTTCTTTTGGATTGACAGACTTCAATAGAAGTGTATTTTTCAAACAAACCTGTTCACTGGAAGTCTGCAGGGAAGTTCTATGTGTAAATTTCGAAGTGATACTTTGGTGAATTAGGTTGATTCAAAAGGAGTTTACTCAAAAGTGGAGAGTACCTGACCAACTAACTCCTAATGTAGCTGTAGGAGGAAGTGGTTGATGGCACTGTCAATATACTCTTTAACTGTGGCACTTCTCTTTTATCCCGTACTAGCAGCTAGTAATTTGAAAATGGCATTTTATAATCTTCAGAGAAGAGTTTTTAAAGTGCTAGGAGCAGGAAGGTGAGAACTGGGGAGCATGACTCCTAAAATCACAGTTGGTTTTGGCTAGCTTTTGTTAGTATTCTGAGCAGATGAGAATCAGTCAGTGGGACAAAGCACTGAGACGCCAGAAAGCGCCAGAAAACAATGATTCATGCTCCAGTACAAACCAGATGGATGTGGGGACATAATTACAGTGTGTAATGAAAACTGAAACAGTTTGTTGGCCTCAGCCCACTGGTAGCTCAGGTTTGCCCTTTCTTTCTCGGTTACAAGGGCTTAGAGGAGCCCTGTGTTCAATGTGGGTGGGAGTAATAGACCCACAGTGCAGACCCTGGAGTCTGTTGGGAGTGGATGTGGGGAAGCCAATGGGTCAGACATGCCCACAGATTTCAGCTGTGGCCCATGGGAAAGTTGCAGAGGTTCATTGTGTCAGAGTTTTTGTGGTTTGAAAAGCTTATCTACTTCGTTGCTCTAAGCAGTTGAGCAAATACTATTTTCAGCTACTTTGAAGGAGAAAACTTGGGATGAGAGGAGTGGTCTTTGATTTCTGTAGCTGAGAGAGCAAAGTCTCTCTCTGAATCTGCACTCCCCTTCATGGCTAGCTTCAGAAACTTAGCCTTTTCTGCTTCTGACTTGAGAACAGATTTTGAAGAAACGTGTGAACAGTTCTCTGCTATGTGGGTCACAGAATTCTTAATAATTCTTTGTCCAGAACTCAAATCTTACAACAGTAACAAAAGTATTAAGTTGGTGGCCATTCTGTCTCCTGTGAACCAGAGGATGCCAAGGCCTGTGTCCCTTTGGAGTGACTTGTGACTGAAATTCTTCCCTCTGAGAAAGTTTCAGTTACTATTATTATGTGTTGGAGAGCTAAAATAGAAAAAGGGCTACCGAAACGACTCTTTCCATTTCCTTGGCATTTATAAGGGAGAAACACCTAAAAAGGGAAATGTTAGATTACAAAAATTGGGTTTGGCACTAAGATCTGAAATTTCTTTACAGTAATTAAAATCATTAATTTTATATTTGAAGGAACATTTTAATCCATTCCTACACAAGGTTTCTGTTGAAAATTTAGTAGATTTCTGTAAAGGTCTTTAAGGAAATGTGTATTCTAACTGAAGGAAGAAGTCTGCAGTTTGTTAATTTTTTATTTTAGAAGGATTGAGTTTTTTTAGTTGAGTCAATTTTTCCGTTAGTCTGAATAAATCAAAACTTAAAAATTGCCTAATCTTATATTAACAGAGGGTTTTATTAACAGTAATACTAGATGTTTTCTTTATAATACTTTTCAAGGGTATGCCCAGTGAGCAGGATTTCATTCTGTGGAAGTTTTGAGTCAGATTGCACAGCCAAGCAGTTTTCTTGTTAATAAAGCACACAGTTTCATGTTATTCTTATGTAGGCAATGATTTGGCCAGAGTTGTAGAAGCTGGACCCAGACATTAACTGATATAAAATAAATGATGTTTTTTTGTTCACACAGTTGCTGACATAACTTTTAAAGCAGGTTTTGACGTGGAGTTTCACGAAGCTCCTTTTAGCTACAGAACTCTATACATAAATGCATTTTTGAAAGTTGTTTGCAGCTTTATGTGATTTAGAGTTCTATCCAGATTTATAGACGCAAATATTGTTTGCTTTTCAATATTTCCTGGCAAGATTTCTCTATGCAGTGATCGTGAATTGCTAAGGTAGCAGTTGCAATTTTGCTGCAGTGCAGACTTGACCATAGTAATTCCTGTTTTATACTCATATATTTGTATGTCTGATTAGCTGGACTGTCATACTGTCTTCAGCTGGGGCACGTCCTAGAAGGTTGTTTGGAGGTTTTTTGGCACAGTGCCTGATAGTGTAAATGAAACTTGACTTTACTTAGTGGGACACCTGCAAGAGCAGAAGTGCTACTGAAATCAAGAGTTTGCTATGATGTAAGTAGAAGGGTCAAATGTATTTAGCTATTTTTATTGTTATTAATACTGTCCAATTTTTTTTTTTAAACACTCATGAGAGGAAGTGCCAGTTTTTTACTACAAGCGAATTTTTAAAACCATGTTTGAATCTCTGTCTAGTTACAGTATGCTTGTTAAACGGAATAGTTTTCATATATTCATGAAGAAATAAGTAACAATTTTCAAGTTGTGGCATTATTTTTTTAAGAACAAAAGTGGTGACAGTATGTAACTTATTCAAAAATACATTTCAGTAAATGGGTTGAAAGTGAGTTGAAAAACGTTACTAGGCCCACTGTAGATTTTTATTTAGATAAATATTGTCTGTTAATATAAAATCATGCACCCTAGCTATTGTATGATCTATCAAGAAAATAACAAGAGCACAATATGAGAAACACACATTTATCAGACTTTGTGACACAGTTGGGAAAATAAAAAAGTATGTCAGATGAACTAAAAGCATAAATGCTATTATTATAGACAGTTTTAATATGAGAAGAAAAAATGCCGCTGGGAAGAATATACTTCATGAAAATCTGATTATGGATAATTTATCTTTTTGGTTGGTTGGTTGGGTTGGTTTGTATTTTTTTTCCCTGGATAAATAGGTCATGTTTTCCTTGAAATCTGTGGAAAATTTATGTGACCAATTTAAACTCCTCGTCTAAAAGTAGATTTGTATTTTTTAGGAATGAAGGAATGTTTTACTTTTGAAAACGTGTTAACAGTGCTGCACACAGCTTGCTAACGTGCGTGTGAAATGTCGCTTACAGGTGCTGACCTTAAAGAAAGGGCAAAAATGCACTCAAGTGAAGTTAGTTCTTTTGTCTCCAGAGCGAGAGCAACTATTAATGAATTGGGTAAGTAACCTCTGCCTTGAACAGTGTCATTGTAACTTCAGCCTGAGAAGCGTTAGATCAGAGGAATGACATAACCATGCATGGTTGTTCATTCTTGACAGGTAGGGGGATACTCAAAACTGTTTAGCATTCAAAAGCACTTAATAAGGATTACAGAGTGTATTGACAAATATGAATCGCGGTGCATTTATTCTTTTAAAATGTTCCAAATTGAGTTGGATTTTTTTTTTTTTAAGAAGGCTAGAAAAGCTAAATCTCAACTGGACTAGAGGTGGTTTTCCATTCTGTTTTCGTAAAGGATGGGTTGTTCAGTGACATCCAAGTGCTTTACAATTTAATTTTTGCTCTTCAATCCTTGTGGTTGGTATATTTATTGCAGTCTAATATATTTTAGAAACATGTTAACCATCAACTGCTGATAGAAATTTACCTACTAAGCCTTCTAAAATTTTACTTAATATACACTTGCTCTGGTGTAGTAAAACCTTTTAATAATTTGAGATTTTAATGGATTTCTACAAGTTTTTAAGGATAGTAATTTCTTTATAAGTTTTACAGTATGAATTCACCATCAAATGATTATATTTTTACATCTCTGATGATCAGTTTTAATATAATTGTTTTTCAACAGGGTATTGCCAATATGTTCTGTTGAAAAGAGAAGTGCAGTGTTCCAAGTTTGAAGCAATTAATTTTCTGCATTTAATTTACATGTGAAACATATTCTGCCACTTGAAATTTTGGCACAAAACTCTGAGGAATAAATAATTCCTCAGAAAATGTTTATAGATACATTTCCTTGGGAACATTATGCCAGATATTGGTTTGGCAGAATGCTATGAATGGATACCAGTATGTTTTTTTCAGGTAAATGACAAACTGCTGAAGAATGAGTGTTTGATTAGGTACTTCATGGAGAAACTTGTGCCCTCAAATGAATGTCATGCCTTTGAAGTGAATACCTAGAAATTAATAGATCATTAATTTCCTGCTGCTGATATTGTATATCATACCAGTGTTTGTCCTTCTATTGGAATGCCAAGCAACAAATTGTTCAGTTCAGGAATTTTGTAAGAATTTTGGGAGGCTTCCTTAGCACTAAGTAATAAATTTTCAGCCTTCCTTGGCCAGTTACTGGAAATACTTTGAGCTGCTATTAATGTTTAAATAGGGGCAACTTTTTTCAAGATTTTCCAGTGATTAGTAAGTAGAGTTTTTTAATTCAATTATTTTGGGATTTTAAAGTGAGGAAATTTCTGAAGCCTGGAGTATTTGAATATGGAATTCTGCGCTGCATGACTGGAAAATATTCACAGTGATTTGATGCTTTATTTTGTCACAGAGTTATAAAAACTTTGAGAGAAATGTTTGATAGTCTTCATCTTCAGTGCTATCTAGAAGGTTTACACTGGATCATTATGCTAACAGTGAATTACTTGAGGTTTAGGAAGCCTCTGTGAGTACCTTTATTCATTGATCTCTAGTCTCTTTCTCGAGAAAGAAGCCTGGAATTGTGAGCTAGTGGAATTCATATTTGAGAACCCAGGTCACTGAAGTACCTAGACAGGAAGGTTTGTGTGGGGAGGTAATAGCAATTAAACATGCCTCTGCTTGGAAAACGGATATAATTTGAACACACAGCCCTTGCCTCATACTGTAACAAAACTTTTTGCTTAAGTTGACTAAGTGTCTCGCTTCTCTCTCCCATCTTTGCATTTTTCTCCCACTTCTCCCTTTCTCCTTTCTTTACTCCCTCCCTCTCCCCATTTTGCCATTTCCACTTTGAAACATAAACAGAACAGTCACTGGAAGGTTCTCCCAGTTAATTTTTAAAGGATTAGAGAAGAATATTGGGATAACACTTCTAATATTACTGGTCAGTTATCATATCATGGGTGTTTAAACAGGCATACTTTGATTTTTGGGTCACATGATGTATTCCCAGTGTATACATCTTTGATACACTGTTTTTTTGAACACATTATGACAGCAGTAGATGTAGTTATAAGACGGATCTAACATTTTTCTGAAGGGTCTTTGCAAAGCAATTTAAAAATCGCAGAACCATAAAATGGTTTGGATTGGAAGGGACCTTAAAGACCATTTTGTTCCAACCCCCTGCCATGGGCAGGGACACCTTTTGCTGGACCAGGTTACTCAGAACTCTATCCAACCTGGCCTTGGACACCTCAAAAAATGGGCTATCCACAATTTGCATGAGAAACCTGTTGTAATGCCTCACCACCCTCACAGTAAAACTTTTTTTCCTAAAATCTAGTCTAAATCTACTCTCATTTTGAAGCCATTCTTCCTTATCCTGTCACTCCTTGCCCTTTAAAAAGTCCCTCTCCATCTTTCTTGTAGGCTCCCTTCAGGTACTAGAAGGCTGCCATTAGGTCACCCCAAAGACTTCTCTTTTCCAGGCTGAAAAATCCCAAATCCCCCAACCTTTTCTCACAGGAGAGGTGCTCTCTCCCCTTAATCAACTTGATGTCCCTCCTCTGGACTCGCTCCAGCAGATCCCTTTGTGTGCAGGGGATTCCAGAGCTGGATGCCATACTCCAGGTGGGGTCTCAGTGTGTCATTCCCTACATCAGGAACTAGTAGAAAATATAAAACAAAAATTAATGAGGTTAGATTAGATGGGAGCACAAGATGTCCCGTTCTGTGATGCCCTTATGAAGAGAAGTAAACGTAATTTTGTAGCAAGTCAGAGGCTCTTAGTTATTTTCCTTTTCTTTATCTTCTGAAGAAGTGATCTGTCATTACAGAATGTAATTTTTGTGGAACTGTGGGGACATTTTATTTTCATTTGGTTACTGCAGTGTATCTGTATATTGAAAATGATAATGATATTTTTCCTGCCTGGCAACAACTAGAATGTTGTGAGATGGTTAATGAGGAGAAACCATTTTCAAATTAGTATTTACCACTGAGAATGTTGTATAGCCAGGGAACAATATTTCCAATCTCCTACTTTGTTCTTTTTCTATCTGAGTTTAATGCTTTAATCTCATTTAAAATGTATTCTACTTTTTGCTTTTCAGAACTAGGTCATGTTTTCATAATTGCATTTGTATTCAGATGTGTGACCTAGTAAGGAGATGCTTCTTTTTAGCTGTGTTTTCATAAAGAGGACCATTAAGTTACCTTTATAGACAAAATAAAGTGAAGGTTAATTATTTCTTGAAAAACTGGATAAACTTAGCCTTTTTAGCATGCTTTGGCTTTGCTTACTGTCTGTCAGTTTCATTACATTTAAAATCCTTACGCTAGTGGTTTTGTAAAAAGCTGTAGTATCATTTTGGAATACAGCTACGGAGGAGAATTTTCTGGAAATTAAAAGCATACTGCCCTTGTTTACATGGGCATAATTTATAACCTCTTGCTAAATTTGGGTGAAGTAGTAAGACTGCAGTAAATATCGCTTGGTTTAAAAATAAACACATGAAAGGGCTGAAAAAACTGAACTGAGCCATTAGTTGCGGCACTTAAGATCTTTAAGTTGTGGGGAGGGGAATCAAAACAGCCTCTATTTTTAGAAGTGGCTGCTTTTGCTAAGATTGTATCAGAATTATGGAGGTTTGTTTGGGACTTGGTATTGTTTTTGTGTGTGTGTTTGGGGTTTTTGTATTTTTTTTCTTTCCTTTTTCTTTTGTTGTTGATAGTAGAATTTATAAAACTATTCGTCCATTACTGTGCTCTGCCTTGAGGCACTTCATTGCAGATTTAGGACTGGATTTACCCTCAAGAAACAAGAAGAGTAAAGCCTTAATAGATCTCTTGTAACCGTGCACAACAAGACAGGCCTGCCTAAATTAAATCAAATTACATTGACTTCCAGAAACCTTGTTTTTGATGCTTTGGGGGCGGGGGGAAACCCCCTATCATTCTAGGTCAGATCTTCAATATGTATTCTTATACTATGACTCCCATTAAGTCCATGTCATTCTTCATGGTGGCTGTGGGGTCTGGGCTGTGATATTATTGTTGTAGAGATGTTACCTGCTGGGACTTCAGTTGCAAAACAAACTGAGGGTGTTATGGGGCTGAATGCAGTAACCACACTCCTCCATAAAAACACCTTGGTGTTTAACAGAAAGAAAAAGTGAAGCTGTACGAAGAATTTCAACTCAGCAAATACGTGTAATCACTCAGAGTGACATTTGGCCCCAGCCTCTAATAAGTGAGAAACTTACTGGTTAGCAAAGGTCTTCCAAAGAACATAGGCATTAGCACCCAAATCCCACAAGCAGGGAATAAAAACTGGAGACTGACTGTCTTGGTTACTTTCTAAGATTTAAGTGTGGTCAGCTTGTTTTTTATTTCACATTTGGAGACAAAACACCTTACTCATGGCCTGACAGAAGCTATATCTGTACTTAATTCGGAATGAAATTCTTAATAAAGACTAACATTACTTGTTTTCTGTAGATTTTGTTGCATTATAACAAACCTTACAGTACTTTGTTGGAGACATCTGATTAATTTTGATGCGTAAGTTGTGATACAACTTCAGTAAGTGATGATATTTAGTAACTTTGTTTATACATAATTTTTACAGATATGATTAATTTTAAAATAGTCCAATTTGAATGAGATCATCCTCAGTGAAAGCATCTTGTTGTCAGTTGCTTAATTTTGTGGGTTTTATTGTGTGCTTTTTATTTTATTCAAAGCAGATACATCTCTATATTTATTGATTCTTTTTTTTTTCCTTCCTTAGCAATTTCTCTGTCATTTTGGCTTCTTTCAGTCATCACCAAACTTTTAACTTACCTAAAAGAGTGCACTTGTTCATCCTTCAGGAGAACATCCTCTTTTCCCAAAAGTTCCGGTTCTGACTGCTGAAGATCGTGCATACTTGGGATTTTTTTTCTTTGTGCCACATCACATCACCACTGCAGTTCAGTTTGGGATGCAAACTCTCAAAACATCATCTCAGAGATCCCAGGAGTGGTATCAGGATTATAAAAATTTCACTAAGTTTTCTGGTCTGG